TTTTTTTTTTTTGTATTTTAAAGCTTTATGTTTAGAACCCTGCTTATTTCCAGATTTATTTCAACATTACATTGCTGGCTGGCTAAAAGCTAAAAAAGGACATGTGGTAGTGAAGCACAAATTTCTTTACAGGAGGCCAAACTCATATCAGCATGCTCTAAGAAGCAGTGCCATGGATGGTTAGAATAGAAGGGACTGGGATTGAACACCACATGTACATATGAACATTAAAAAAAAATGCAACCTTCTGAAACAGTGATGACCACTTATGTCTCAAAGAACTGGAGAAGAAAGATGAGGTTAAAGATGTTAATGACAGATAGATACATAGAATGGCCAAATAATAAGTGGTCTTCAAGAACCAATATTTTTAAATAAATAGTCCAGAGACTCTCTATCATCTCTTGCCATCCCTAATGGCCTAGTTGGAAAATGGTCTTAGTTGGAAATTTGTTAGAGGTTACTCATGGAGGTGCTCTGGGGGCAGGGGGTCTTAACACATACCTATGGTAAGCAGGCAAGTTAAGGTTACCCACTAATTCCTGTAGGAGAAATAAGGCTCAAGGAGTCTGTTATGTTTTTGAGTATTTCTTTGTCTTTGAGTTAGAAAACCTGAGCAGAGGTAGTTCCAAAAGGAACAGCCACGCTGGTGTTTGYTGACATTGCTGCCTACAGTCCCACATGGAAGCAGAAAGCCCAGAAGCATGYGAAAAATGGGGATGGGAGGGCGATGATTGATTACTTCTGAATTTCAGCGTTTGGTATCAGGCTGAAGGCTTGGCTCAGCTTTCTCCTTGCTTTGAGCCCATCTGTCATCCGTAGTTCCTTCTGGAGTGCACAGCAGATGTATCCCTTACTATTTTCAGTGTAGTGACTAGGCTGTAGTTCAGCAAAGAATGTCAGCATGTGCTTAATTTAATGCATTAGAGTTATCACTTTTAAGAACAAGTGGAACTCCTTAGAGGCTTAAAGTTAATCTGATGCATCAGCCTTTTGCACATTTGGGACTCCAGTCATAAAATAAAGACGAGGCAGAAGCTGCTGTCAAGATAAAACCCGACATAAGTGGCTGTTTTAGATGAAGATCTCCAGGGAGGGGTGAGGAATGGAGAGAGGAAAGGAGACGGAGTCAGAGAATGATTATTTTAAAAAGTATTACATTACTTTTTACATGTAAAGAATATATGTACTTTACGAATTAAAAAAGTATTGCATAAGCATCAATTAATTTTATTCCTTACAGACTTTCGTCCTGTTTGCTATGAGGAACCCCAGCACTGGTGTTCGGTTGCCTACTATGAACTCAACAATCGGGTAGGGGAGACTTTCCAGGCTTCCTCTCGAAGTATCCTTATAGAYGGATTTACAGATCCCTCAAATAACAGAAACAGGTTCTGCCTAGGACTGCTCTCAAACGTAAACCGCAACTCTACTATAGAAAACACCAGGAGACACATAGGAAAAGGTAAGAGGAAATCCCTCCTTCTTGGGAATATTCAGAGCTTGATAGAAGTGTGCATTACCTTAATAGATCTAACCAATTTGTCAGATGTGGATGTCTTAAAACCAAAGCTCTGAGATTACTTCTGAAATAGGAGAAAAGCAGCTGATTCTTTTTTGACTGGATAAGAATCAGCAGAGTAGCTTCTTACAAAAGCAATTTACTTGGCCACTGAAGAGAAAAAAATGTTGTTTATAGTTGTGTGTTCTAATTTAGCTGTATGTATTTTCATTTTATTTATTAGGGCTTCTGGCAACTGGGAATATTGCCATTGAAATGCCACTAAAAGGATAATTGCTGGTGCCTCAGGGCTGGTTCTCCTACCACCAAATAACAAAGGGAGATGTATGAAACACTTAGTAGTTGAGTTATTTAGCTGAAGAACTCTACAAGAGTTGCCTTTGTAGCTTTTTTTTTTGCCTTAGCAACTTAAGAAAATCAGTCTAATCTGATTCTCTGCCTCATCAGCTTCTAGCTAGTAAAACTAAATCTTGGATTCTCCTTTGAGCAGTTCTGCTTGAATGCTCCGCAGGATCTACATGCACTGTGCGCTCAACACCATACGCTACTGGCAGCAAGTATGTTGAGACCTCTCCTGAATATGCATGGCCATACACACTCCATCTCAGGTCACTAAGGCTGAGTAGGTCCCGATCTTCTCCCAGAACTGTGCACTGTTCATGGCAGTGAGTCAGAAGCCCTGTACTGACCACTTCTCTGTGCAAATGAAGTGTTGCCTATTCTGGTATATCCAGTCTAGACTCATTATCTTGCCAAGCCAACCTCTCACCAGGAGCTGCCTGGGAATGGGTTCCCACTGAGCTAATTAACTCTAATTGTTCCACTCCTATTATCTTGTCAAGCTCACCTCATTTCCCAGGCCTAGAGCAGTATTTTAATTGGCTCTTGGTAGTCTAGTGTTGAATGATTGAATATGAGGAAGGTTTGAGACAAATGTGACATATTTTTTTACAAACAATGAGCAGAGAGACTAGTGCATGAGGTGCTTTGCAGAAAATGCTGTGCTTAGCTCTTATCTTGTTCTCCAGGAGAACACTGCTGATAAAAAATATACTGTGTGAAGTGAGCATGATGCTACAGGTGTCTGTCATAGCAGTTTGTTGTGAGCAGTGTAAATGAGCTACCCATCTAGTCCAGACTTATGCAGAAAAAAAAAGGCAAAATTTCCCTATCAGGGAAGGAGGAGTGTAGATGAAAGTCAAAGCCCACCCTCATTAAATGACAAAAGATCTCAAAGTTGTCATCTGAGAATGTTGCATCTTGTACATTTCTGCCCCCAAAATGAGAGAAGCAGAACACAAAGAAATGAGGTACATGCTAATGGTCCTCATCCATTCAAATCTGAAGATCTGTCTTCATTGATTAAAAGTCCTTTTAAGTCTTATGCTAGGAATCTGCCCAAGGGAAGGGAGCAGGTTGCCCAGAGTGGAGCTTAGAATATCTGAGATCCTTAATTTTCCTGCTCTTCCCTGTTTATGCAAATCTTAAAAAAACATTTTCAAGTGGAATAGAAATGACACCAGTAAAGACCTGCAGAAGAGAACAGAGCAGCTCCAAAACTGTGCAGTGTAGAAGTGTACTGAACAGATGAAAGCTCCTGAAATGAATACAATTGTCACATGTTAACAGGCAGAAAAAAAAAAAAAAAAGAGTGAGTAAACAAGATTAGCTCAGTAGGATAAGGATATGCAATTGAATCGTCATCTAGTGTATCAGCATGAAATGGTTTCCTGGAAATACCACATCAAAGCTAAAAACAATCCAGAACACAATGCTACTTCTACTAGCGATTGGACCTGTTTCAGCAATCAGACTTCAAGGGCATAAAGGGGACTTCTGAGCAGAATGTCAAAAAGATGAGGAAACTTAGAGATTGTTGAATCTCCTAATTCTGCACAGAGCAAAGAAATCCAATTAAAACATATGAACTCTTGATTTGGTCTTCTACAAATATTCAAATGCTTGGTTTCCTTGACAGTGCTGCTCTTCAGTGAATGAATAGCAGAAGACTGAAAACACATGCTGACATTTCACTGCTGCTGCTTTTCAAAAGTCCTCAAGGAAAAGAAAATAGTGCTTTCYGAAGTGGCTTTGGTGTTTTTGTTACTGTGGTACATTGTTTGTGTAATGTTTTTGAAAGCTTTCATTTATTTTTTCCCAAGTTGGGTTCTCAATATATTCTGAAAATCTAGCACCTTAGAGCTTTTCACTTTAGCACCTTAAATCACTAGTGACATCTGTAGATTTGAAATGTGGCAAATTTGAAATGTGTCTTTATTCTGCTCCTCCTGTCCTGCATTCTCACTATGCCTGCTTATTTCAGGAATTATTTTGGGCTCCATCAAGGCCACCTAGGAACCTTTTCAGTGTATTTTCCTTCCCTTTTATCCCCCTTTCTACAAAAGGAAGAAGAGACAGGGGTCAAGTAACAGCAGTCACAATGTGAAGCATCACGTAGCCATCTGGAGCAGCTGTGTCCCTGCTGACAGCAGCCCTAGTTGCGCTGTAGCTTTGCCCGCATTCCCAGCACAACGTGTCCTTGGGCTGCCAGCCGCACCCCCTGTCACTCAGACCGACTGTGGGATCCCGTGGGTGCACAGGAGTCAGGTGATGGCTCGAAGACAGACTTTAAGGTTCTTGTCTGAGTCATTCTGGAAGTCCACRGGAGAGCCTAATTTTTCCCAGATCCCTTTCCCACTCAACCTGCTTTTCCCCAAGCCTTTCCTGCTGCTGCGGAGAGGCTGGTTTTGTTTCAAGGATGTGTTGCTGCTCCTTGTGTCTTGACCACAGAAGCATGAACAGAGACTGGGAAAATGCAGCCTGTCTTTTGTTTTGTATGAAAAACAGCAGGGAAAAAAAGGMACAAATCAACGTTGAATTATTAAATCCTGGTTATCACCAGCTCTGCAGGCAGCCCACTTAAACTCCGTGAATGTGTGCATTTGTGTGTAAGGCTTTGAGCTCTGTACCTGGGAATAAGCAGGAGGCTTTTATTTTAAGGAGGGTTTTATTTTTATTTATTGGTGGTTTGTATGAGAACAAAGAACTGAAGTCTTACATCTTTCTTGACCATGGGAGAGGTTCTTCTCGTCTACCTCTAACCATGGGAAGACTAAATGTGGAGGAACTTCAGAGGATGACTTGGTCCCCTTCAGGGTGTGGTTTCATGCTCACTTCTAAACAGTCCTCGTCCCCATTGCCACTCTTGCACTGATGAAGATTTCACTGTGAATACGTTAGTTTTCATTTGGTTCAGCTCCTTTATCTGAGTGGCTGCCTGGCCCTCAAGCRTTGCTGCCTTCATGGGTACAGGTATGGGAAGAAGCAGCAGAGGAAGGAAAAGAAAGCTTTGTCAGCACAAACTCAGCTCAGATTAAGCTGGCAGTGAGTGTACTYTATGGTGGATGGAATGAGTCATCTGGTGGTGGTGCCTCTTGTCACCTATCAGCTATAGAAGGAGTCTACAYACTTAGCTTACACTATATCCTTAATCTTAAGGTTGCTGAATTTAGCTGAGATAAATCCCTCAACAATTTATGTACATTTTTATAGAAGCAGGCATCCAGAGGGGAATCTGAGTCCTTGAAGGGATCGAAGTGCTTCTATTTTCATTTCCGCAGAGAAAGGATAAAAATAGCATAGTTAGTGTTGGTAAGTCACTCAGACACTCAAAGATTCACATGAAAATCAGTAATTTTCTTGTTAAGTATTTTTTTGAAAAATATCTGGTGAATAAGAGTCATGCAAATTCAAATATATGGTTCTGATGTGGTGGATAAAACATACTACAGAAAAGCTGGTTTTAGTACACATCAGACCATGTTTGAATTGATAGGATCCTGTATTAAGAAATAGCGTGCAATGAGTTGGGTCTTGGTGAGTCTATGTGCTTCACAAGGAAAACAGATTTTGATGTGTAATGCAAAACAGCTTTGCCAGCTTTTGGCTATTTTGTGTCTGGGTGCTTTGTATATGTTTCACATATGTTTGACATATATGCGTATATGCATGTGTGCATGTCTCCAAAAGTATCATGCTGGTGTATTTAAAAAGGAAGTAAGTCAAACTTCACTGAGTAATGAATGTATCAAATGCCTAGACATTTTTCTCCTATGTCAACACTTTGAAATAACATTTTTGACAATTTGTTCTCAATGCTTGTGGATCCATTTGGTAATTTTGTAGATATGTGGATATACACAGATTTTGCTGTCCTTAAAGACAAGGTACAGTCACTGAATGCCTCAAATAATCCTGGGATTGTATGTGCACAAACTTAAATAGCCATACAATTACTAGCAAAAGGCATAACTGTGAACAATGGAGAAATAATACTTTTTTTTTTTTTTTTCTTTTTGAGGTGTTCATCTTTACTATGTTGGTGGAGAGGTTTATGCGGAATGTGTGAGTGACAGCAGCATTTTTGTGCAGAGCCGCAACTGTAACTATCAGCATGGTTTCCACCCTGCCACTGTCTGCAAGATCCCCAGTGGCTGCAGCCTCAAGATCTTCAATAACCAGCTCTTTGCCCAGCTGCTTGCCCAGTCAGTCAATCACGGCTTTGAAGTGGTGTATGAGCTCACCAAGATGTGTACTATTCGAATGAGTTTTGTTAAAGTAAGGATGTTTTGTCTTCTGTTGCATTTCTGAAAAAGTGAGTTCTGTCACTTGTGATGTTTCCCCCATTGGTTGCATAAAAAGTTCAGTTTAGATGGGCTAAGCATCTGATACAGCAGCACATATGTTAGGCACTTTGTGAGCCATCCCATCATTATTAGTTTGCAGTAGAGCTTGGTGCAGTCACAAATCTGAAATGGATGTCCTTAGACCACTAGTCAATTTATAGCCTTAATGTGACTATAGACTGGCATGTATGGGCTCAGTCAAGTGTTGACATTCCTGCTGGCCAGACTCACTGCCAGAAAGGGTTCTTGCAAGCGGAAAGCAAAACTCAAAAGAACCACTAACCTTCTTCTGTTATTTGAAAGAGACCACCAGACTATCATTGCTTCCATGTTCCATGTTTTTGAACCTTTGTAGTCTGACTGCTGGGTGTACACTTGTCTTGGTGGGAGTTGCTTAAATCTTTTGAATGTCCTTCTCCTTCTTGACTGCTTTTAGAACTAACAATGTACTTTTGGTATCTTTGATGTCATCTAAGAGAATGGTGAGTATGTGAAGATTGCTTGCTCAAAAAATTGCACTAGACTGACTTCCTACAGTGCTGCTGGTGAAAGGTAGGCAGCAATATTCAGCCTGTATGCTAAAAAGCTGTATCATTAGAAGCTCACTAGTCCTATTTAGGTGCTATTACAAGTGGCTTTAGTATGGCCTTTTGTCTTGCAGATTTGGTTGTATACAAATGGTTGAATCGAGCTGACTGAGTTCACCTCCAAGATATTTCAAAGCTTCTTGAGGCTCAAGCCTGGTTCCCCTAAATCTTGCAAAGCAGAAAGGTTGAGATCCAGGCAACTTTCTGGCTCTGACTCTTTCCAACAGTCCTTGGGGACCCATCCTCTTCACTGTCTGAGAGCATTAAGAATGCCCTGTAATTTTTCCTGGGAGCCCAAGCCAAATTTTCCTGCACATATTGCTTTGTTCTTGGGAAAGAACTGGCATCTTGTTCACATGCAAGCATTAAGGAGAAGAAAAGTACACAAGAAACACAACAAACAGCATTTTCTTTAATAGAAGACATGAATGGGCATGCTGTTTCTAAAGGCAATATAGCCAGTTACGCAATATTTTCATTATCTCAGCAACACAGGGGCAGTTTCTTTGATGTGTTATCTGCATTTGAGCCCAGCATGGCAGCAAAAGTGGTAGTGTTGATGCATTAAGTAACACTACTACTGTATTATCACCACGCTTTGTTGAAATAATGACAGCCACTATAGTTCTGTGGGCACCAGAAGACCAATGTGAGAAAGAGATATTTCAAGCCCTTTCCCATGACCTTTGGAAAGGGACTATGCAAATCTCACCTGGGTTCTTTTTTTCAGACATTTACAGACATTTCCTGTACTCAGTTTTCCCAAATTATTTCTTTCCCAAGATGTGAGTCCTGGTGGGACAGGAGTTCCCTGGCGTGTTGGGATGTGCAGTGGAGAGAGGACAGTGTTGCCCATCACAGCCCTGGTGTGTGCCATACACCACGAGGTCCCAGACATGGGGCAATGTTGTGGATTTCCCTGACCCTGCACACTGTGCAAGCCAGAAGGGAAAAGATGGTCCTGGAGAGCACTTCGGAGAGAGCTGTGGCCTGCACAAAGCTGGGAAGGCTGGCAGTGCCCACAGTGTTATTGAAATCATCTTCCCCATGCCCAGAGGTTCATTTCTGGACTCGTCTTTTGGTTATTGGTATCGTCTTCCCACCGTCAATTCAAAACAACCACACAGCTCTGCAAATTGCTCTCATTTTATCCCTTGCAAAGAGAGCTCCAACTTGAAGTTTATTCCAGCCCCAAGGAGCAAGAACTCTACCTGCAGCCTAGGGAGGGCCTTAACTTACAGACCAAAGACATAGCTGAGTCCTGTGCTCCTGACATTTTAACTGTGGGTGTCTGTCCCTGGCATGGAGCTGCCAGCAGAGGGAGATGGGCAGACACCTGAGGATGCTCACAAGCTGATGACTTGCAGCAATGACTGCTGCCCTTTGCTGGCACCGAGCTCCTCAGAATCGCGCAGGCTGCATTTGCTGCATTTGCAGCCTGTGGCCCCTTTTCATCTAGATTTTCTGTCCTGCTGCTCGGATGAGATGCACTGTTTTCTTCGACGTTTGTGCCGTGCATYGTCACTGCAGCTGGGCAGTATCACCCTTAAAGGTGGAAGCCCTAATTTAGGTACCTTTGGCAGACATCACTTTTTTAATATATCTCCATGTACTTTTTCATGACAAAAATGTCAACACTTCTCACTAGTTCAGTTGCCAGGTAAAGCTCAGCTCCTCTGCCCAGTGCCCACAGATTATGTGCCTCGCTGTGCAGCAAGGCAATATTTTGCACATGCCCCAGTGGAAATCTGAGTACTATTTTTGAACAAGAGACAGTCAGTTACCTGTGAGACTTCGGGCTGTGAGCTGAATCCCTTGCATTGCTGTGAAACTGGCTGTTCACAGGGTGTGACAGTGTGCACAGGCACTGTAAGTCCAGAGCTTCTGTGTTTAGGTTGAAGTGAGGAGAGCACTAACTCTGCTGGGCTTGATGGTGAATGTTGTAACTTCTTTTCTGTAGTTCTGTGCTCACAGAAATATCAGCTGTCTGGCTGATCGAGTCCCATCAAACTTTGTTACCCAAATCACACAGTTCTGGGAATTCACAGAGGTGGCTAAAATTAATATATCCACCCAGACCTGGCATAGTGGYGGCCTGCTTGTGAAGCAGACACTGTGCTGCCTTGCGGTGGGAATCCYTGCCAGCAGCACATGACCATCTCCTGACAGAAGCTCAATATCCTTTATCTCCTAGAAAGAGCTGGAGATGATATTCATACTCCAGGACTTTCCACAGCCATTGACAATTCCATGCCATTTGGTCTCATTACTTGGAAATATTGAACATATTTAATTTACTAGTGTAGTTTTGCTGTTAGCATCCCTGATAACTACGATAGCAAAAAAAGACCTTAAAAAAGTGCAACATTTTGAGCAAAAATTCATCTTAGGATGATGGGCTACTYAGAGTACTTTCTTTAAAAACTGACTCTTTGGTTCTTCGATATTTTTGCAGGGCTGGGGAGCAGAGTATCATCGCCAGGATGTTACAAGCACGCCCTGCTGGATTGAGATCCATCTGCATGGACCATTGCAATGGCTGGACAAGGTGCTGACACAGATGGGCTCCCCTCATAACCCCATCTCCTCCGTCTCTTAAGAGTCATCTCTCGAACTACCTTAGGACRGATGCTATTGCAGGCAGTGGCTTACAGAATTTCCAGTGAAACAGAAGCTTCTGTATGTAGATGTAAATATATCTATACATAGTCTACTCTCCTATTTTTTTTTTCATGCTATGTTTTGTGGTTTCTAGCTATTCTGATGCCAGTACAGTAAGTTTAGAGATTCGGGTATAGCATATCTCTTCTCTAGTGCAAAATAAGCCAAATTCCTGCAAAAGTGTCGAACATTTCCTATGAGCATCTTCACTTGTCAGCCAAGCCAGTAAAAGCTGAGAATTCTCAGCCCTTCTGTACAGGTACTCAGAAACCTGGCTGTAGCTGTTCCTAGTAGGTGAAATTCACCCCTCTRCAGGCAACCAAAGCCAGATCTCTGCACCATATATCCACCTTACATTCTGATTTCAGGTCTAAAAGAGAACCTTAAGCGGTGCACAAGACTTACGGATAGAGATGACTTTTATCCAGTGAACTGAAGGACTAAACAGCAATTCCTGTCTGTCTACCTACTGCAAAGCATAATGAGACTACAGATGCTCTGAGGAGCTGAGATACCCTTGTTTCCCATAGCATTTGGCAGGAGAAGGGAGAGAGCCCTCAGGGCACATTCAGCACTGGAGCACATTCTGGCACATTCTGGACAAATTCAAGTAGTCTGATACTGTTGACATAGTAGTGTATGGTACTGCTGCACTGAAATACAACAAGCTCCTTAAAAAAAAATAAGAAAAAAAAAAAGAAATATATATATGTATGTTTAAAAATTAACTACCAGTGCTTTTTTTTTTTGCAAAGTACATTCATACTTGCATATGTATCTGGCATGTAAAATGAATCCTATCCATTATACAGTATTGACGTAGTTTGTTTTAAAGGTAGGACTATCTGTAGTTAAACTACTGTGCTGATATCAATGGTACGTCTAAAAGGGACTTGAACTGTGATTCTGAAAAGGGAAATGAAGTGTGCATTGATGAACTGAACAATTAGTTAACCATCTATCTTGGGAAAATCTCTGTATTGAAAGCAGGGAGTCCCATGCTCAGAAGYGGAAGCAGAAGGAGGTGGGAGTCAGTCTCATCTACACTATGAGCTGTGCCAGTTCTCAGGATYTGAGTGCACCACTTAGGTTTGACACAAAGGGGTTTCCGGCCAGTCACTTTGTACATCCTCRTGGATGGTTTCTCATCTTAGATAGATTTCATCATTTACAGTGTTTTTGTCTCATCTGTATAGGTTAATGAGGTAGTGTAATCACAAACAAATGACAAATGAACTGGTGCACAAAACCTTTTGAAAAGCTTGTTGCCTGTGGTCCTTCAGCGAGCAGGAGAGCTCTTGCACATGCTGTCAACCACAGAGCCAACCTTACAAAATGCTGCTCATCTGATAACCTTTTCTGAGAGGGCAGGTGAAACACCATTACGTGTTGATGGTCCCCATTGCCTTGCTAAAAGAGGAAGACTGTTTCTTTCCAGGAACAGTAGGCCATCTAAAATTGTTTTGCCTTAAAAGACAGAAAGAATGACTGCTTCTCACTCTTTTTTAGGACACACAAAATGTATATCTAGAAAAA